TTGCAAAATATCTAAGAATAAGATGCTTACTTAATATAATTATGCCTTTCATTGATTCATGATAAAACTATGAATGTCATGTTTTAAGGTTATATATTCTCATGTGTGTTCAAAATTATTAAAATTCGAAGAAATGGACAATAATTCTTCATTTGTCATTTAACTTTATGACCTGAATATATATAAAGTAGAGTAACAACAGTTGACTTTCTTTCTTTCTTTTAGCTATGCAGAGATTATCCAGTTGAACAACATAAGCTTACCACTTTTTCAAACGTTAAAATACCTAAGAGAATCATGCAACCATTCTATCAATTCACCGATCCAATTTTTACAGAGAAAATACATCAAAAACACTCAAGTTGATAACAATGAAATAAATAATGGTGTCATTTCTTGATATCAGAGTGTTACACACTCCCGAATGATCCCAAAGCAGTGAAAGAAACTATGCAATAACTACTTTATGACGATGAAAACACAAAACTCAGTGTTCAACTTGGATGGAACTCATAGAATTAATTATGTCTTACAACACACCGATGGGATTACTCACACATCAGGATGAAAAGCTGAAGCTGTTAGGCAAAGATTAGAATTTATAGTCTTCCCTCCCTATCTATAATTAAACCAAAAGTCTAGGAACGTTTTGCTGATGAGACATTCGTAATAATTAAAAGAAATGTGATTTAGAAAGAAACTATGGGAACAAACAAAAACAAAACAAGAACCAATCGCCAACCAAAAAGTATGCAGGAGAAAGTGGAGATGAATTGGACACTCGCTCGCTGAGAAGGTCGCTGGGTGACATCGCGCGCTCGTCAGGCCATTGCTCGAGTGGAACAAGGCCGAAAGGGAAGCGGCGAGTGAGACGTCAGTGCAAGGGTGACATGGGGGAGATCGTGTGAAGAGGAGTTGAAAGAGTATGGACTAACATGAATGCAAGTGAAAAGTACAGCAGAAGGAAGACAGAAGCAAGTGGAGACGTGCAGTTGAAGCCCTATGCTCCACTAGGAACCCAAGGGAACAATAATAATAATAATATTAAAAGAAATGTGATTTAGAATACACCTGCAAATTAATCAACACCATATTCGAAGACATTAAATTCACCATGAGAGAAGAACAATTAGTCGACAAAATTTCATTCTTAGATGTCATAATCGAGAGAATTAACACAAGTAATTTAGGAAACAAGTATACAGCAAATCAACGCATACAGACGAAATATACAACTATAATAGCAATAACCCAATTATCCATAAAAGAAAATGTATGCAGATATTATTTAAAAGAGTTCAAACACACTGTAGCCCACCAATGTTGAAGAGTATAGAAGACAGATATCTAGTAATTGTCTTCAAAAGGAATCAGTACCCACTCAAGTTATAATACTAACAAAAAGTCATCATCAAAGACCATAAAAGAAAATACAGTGTACCACATATAAGAAAGAATATCTCTGAAATAACAGTTAGAATATAGAGACAGTTTGAAATAGACATATCACACAAGCGAACACAGTCGTTTCATTCGATACTGTGCAGACAAAAATATCCAACAGAAAAAGACGAAAAAAAAGCAATAGCACTTATGAACTATGATAAAAATTAAATCGGTTAAAGTGGGTGCCTCCTTCGACTAAGAATTCAAGGTCTATATATTAGGTGTGATGCAAAGAAATGAAACGTATTTTTGTTTCATATCGATGCATGTAGATAGCTATGGACACAAATTTGATTGGGACAATGTTGAAATGTCAAATAAAGGATAAATCAGAAATGCTGGCAGAGAATTTCTAGAAATCTGATACTCCAGTGAATTGGTGATTAACAAACGTATTACTACAGATCAAGTTTACCGACTAACAAAGAATAGGCCACATGACAAAATAAAGTTCAAACTCCAAGTCAATAAAAATAACCAAGAGAGATGCAAATTAACAAGCAGTCACAAACAATGGTTATAAGGACATACAATTATATCATTGATGGAGAATTGAAAGAAATTCATTTCACACTAAAACCATCGCTGAAGATGCTGTATAGAAGGACGACGAAAGCTTCGCAATCAAATTAACTAGGTCAGAGAACGTACAACCAAATCAAAATACCGCTTATATCCATTTTCTATTTGAACAGTAGTTAAACTATAGCAAAACAAGAAAAAGTGATTTCAGCTCACTCTCTCTCATCCACTTCAGAAGCTACTATTTCTTCAAGTTATTTTTTAAAATTCTTCATGGTGACCTGTTTAAATCACTGGGCTACCAGAATTAACACCCATCAAAATGCTGCTTAAACTCTTCTGCATTTCTTATTGTTTTTGTTGTCTCTCTGCATATGCAGCTACACTACATTGCAACGATATACTTCAGATAATCACTGTACATGTAAATCTTGTACGAAGAGGAGACATTTTGAAACTAAATCCGCTGAAGATTTCTGTACCGTATCCACATACTGTCAGAAATAAAGCCTTATTACTATGGACAGAAAAAACTCCGTCTCGGTATTAACTCCTATCATGAATATTTCGACGATGTCTAAAGCCTTACACGATGTTAACTGGTTGGTAGTTCTGAGCACTGGAATCCAGGAAATGCGTTTCTGCATATTTTGGGATTCATCAGCCCGACAAATCTTTGGCATTTGAAACTCTGCCTGCTGAGTTCAAGATGCAGGTATACTCAACTGGTGAACCTCAAATAGGCTGAAAGACGCTTCCCGGATTCCTCTGCTAACCGAACCGTCAACCAGATAAAACACTTATGGTTAAGATCCTTCGGGGTTAACTAGTGAACCTAACAGAAAAACCGGACCTCGATATAATTCAACAGCTTGTATGTTACATACTGAACAAGAGAAATACAAATTTACCGGAACGATATAGTGAATTGTTAATAATTTGGACAGTTATTACTGACATTAATGTTGTGGCATGTGCTACTGACAAGATTTATAAGTACTATATAGATGCAGGCATAAATATGTATACCACCTTCAAGGACAGTGAATAGAGGAGAGATGGATTTAACGGTAAGGAGAAGAAATAAACGATGCTTATGAAACACAGCGTGGAAAACATGAAACGAAGAAAATTAAGTACAGTGCAGAAGACAAAATTAGCACAATATGGAAGCTATGCGCAAACTGTCACTCTAATATATGGTAGACGTATATTGCCTATAACTGTGTATCGAGTTGCCAATAAGTGATTCCGTTACCAAATTTTATTGTGTTCTGTCTTTACAGTAACACTTATTGCTTCACATAATAATTTTTAATAATAATTTTTCCTTCACGTTCCCAGTGGAACATAGGGCTCCAAGCTAGTGGCTTGAAGTTTCTGTAGCAGTGTTTAATTTTTACAGGATGGGGTTGCTAGCCTCATGCCTAACCTTTCCTCTTTACCAAGATTATTTCTGGCTCAGTGAGGTAAAGGAGTGCGCCGGCCGGGGATCGAACCCCGGACCATATGCATGGTCGGCAAACGTCCTAACCGCTATGCCACCGACGCACACTTCACATGCTGTGTTTTATTTCTTAATTCTAATGAAGTTACCACTATCATGAAGCTAATCGTTACAACTAACATTTGTTTGTTCACGCGCTGAATTTGTTGGGCTTTTATTCTTTAACTTGTGGTCTGTTTGATATCATAAGTAACAGTCAAGAAAACAAGAGAAGTTACACTACTGATTAATTGATGTGAGCAGTGTGAAGGCACTCATGTAAACGAGTATTGCTAGCTAGACAGATACAAGTGATTTGAACACCTGGACTACTGTTTTGCTCGTTAGGAGCTTATCTCATTAGTATTGTAACTGTTTAGACTAAGCTCATCCGAAATTTTGGTTGAGTACTTAAAAAATCTAAAATTAGATCCTTCTGTCCAACTGTGGTAAACTGGATTGCTCGGAAGACTGTGCGTAGGAGCCAGGAGACAGGATTACGCTGGACCACCGATAAGATGATTCTAGAAGATCTGGATTTCGTGGATAATTTATGTCTAATGTCAGAGAAACTCGAAGACTCACAGGTAAAAACCAACAATTTGCAGAAGAGGCAGGCAGCGAGGACAGGACTTCAAGTGGACACACAGAGGACGTAAGTGATGAAGATGATTAACCAACCAACTAACCACGGCAAGCATCAATCACTATCAACGGAAGAAATATGAATGACGTCAATTCCTTCACTTTTCTGGCCAGGCAGCATCGTTTCAACTACAAGCGACAGCAAGGATGAAGATATCGAAGCCAGTCTGAATCGGAGAAGCCAAACAGACCTTCATTACTCTGAAATCACTTTGGAAGTATTCTGCATTCAATACAGAGGACGAAATTCAGATTTTCAACATCAATGTTAAGTCAGTAAAATTTTATAAATGGGTCAGAAAATCGGCCACCACATCACATAAAGCAATTCCAACCGACAGCAGCAAACTTTTGTCACTAGATGACTTCACTAGCTCTATACTGATGATCAGATTGTCAGTCGGCCAGGAAGAATTATCAACAAGAAACTCTGGCAATGGCTCAATCGAGAACCTCTTGCCCAATAGATATGTGGAAGAAAGTGGAGATCGACTAGATACAGGTTGACGTGACCGTCGGACGACATCGCACGGAAGACTTCCCACCGGGTGTAACCTGAGTGAAAAATGATTGGTTGTACTGTGGTGCGATGGTAACGTGGAGGAGATGAAAACTTATGAACAATCGTGAGGCCATGTGAAGAGGATTGCAGAGAACAGGTTGAAATGGAGATGTGTTGCTGAAGCCTTATATTCCACACGGATGCCAAGGGAATAATAGTAAGAAGAGGAAGAAAGTGACGGTTTGGCGTTTGAAGCGTTTGCGACTACTTTTATGAATGATTAGTATGCACACTGATGTACACTTTTTCTAATTGATTTGCTATTCTCATAACAGCCAAATATAATCGTAATATTAATAATAAATTATTCAGTATCCCCTTTTCTTTGTTTGAACTTACCAGGTTGTGTTTGAATTCTTAGATTTTGTGCCGTTGCTATGGCTGCCTGCGCTGCCGCAAAACTGCTATTACTATTGCTGTTATTATTATTATTACCATTATTGTTATTTAAACCCAGTGTGTTACTGAAACTGGTTGACAATGTGATTGCATCAGTTGACCTACGTAGATCAGATATGGAATTCTGTGATTTTTTTGACGAAACATTTGTCGATGATGTTGATGAATAAGATTTGCCGCCAGTTTCATTACTGTTGTTATTCGTGTTATTGTTAGCAAAAGAAGGTTTGGATATTTTGCTGCTCGGTAGATCTAAACTGTTTGGGGTACGGGAATGAGATTTTTTACCGGTAGACCTTGAATAAGGCGATGAGTGATGTTGGAGAGATTTATTACTGCTGTTACTATTGTGATTATGAGTATGAGTACTGCTGTTATTAGTGGAAGATTCTGTAGACGACTGATGATGAGAATTTGGAGCATGGAAATTGCTTTTCGTCATTGGACCGTTTATACTGCTTGACAGTGATGTGAAGTTGGTTGTTTCTGGTGTTTTCATGCTACTACTACTACCACCACCACCACCACAGTGTAAGCCGGCTGCCGCGGCGGCTGCTGCAACCCAAAGTTGTTGACACGCCATCTAGATGGAATAAGATTGGAGAAAACAAAAAAACCATAGTGGAAATTATGATCCAAGGAAATAACTAAATATATTTCTATGGAAGTTTCATAGTTAACGCATCAAATTTATAAAAATGATCGTTATAATATACAGCAGACGAAAAATGAATCTCTTAGTGATACTTACGACTTACTAAATCAAAACTTGGGAAATATAATACAAGTTTACTACACATAATTCTGAAAAGCCTGATAAACATTTATAAACTTGAAAAATAACGAAGGCTATAAGTAGTTTATAAACCTCGCCTACTTTACTAGCTCGACAGTTTTCTAGCTGGTCACATGATCAGAAAAAGAAGGAGGGTTGGGCGTGGGGCTAGCGATCCTAACATGGGAAATTAACCTGATGACTGTAGAAAAAATTTAAAAGACAAGCTTATTCTTCTCTGGAATCGGAAAGGCGAAATGACGTGTGTTGGTTGGTGAAAGCCTTCGAGAAGCCAGTCAGCCAGCCAATGTGTCTTCTCTTGATGAAAGCAAGAATAAGAATGGGGACGTCCAATGTCCATACAATCTATGAGTCTGGAAAGGTTGCCTACGTAGCCAAAGAAATGAGGAGATATGGCATAGAAGTGCTAAGTATATGCGAAAGCAGATCAAATGGAAGTGGATTATCAAAATTTTCAAGTGGAGAGTCAGTAATCTACTCCGGTCTGATCATCCAGACAACAACCACGAGAACACTGAGGTAGTGAGTGGCTATCATGATGTCACTGGTGGCAGCCGGAGGCCTTATGCAGTGGGAACCAATTTAGTCCTGCAGGATAACGACGGCAAGATTCAACTCAAAAGGAAAGAAGGAAGTTTGCAACTATACAATGCTAAGCACAGTGCTACAAACAACGAGGAACAAGAGAAGAAGGAAGATTTTCGAAGACTATTGCAAGCAGTAGTGGACGACATCCCAGATGGTTACATCAAAATACTTATGGGCGATATGAATACTAGCAGATAATACAGGAAAGAACCCATCATAGGTGGAGAGGCTCTTGGCGAAATGAGTGATAATGAAGAACTCTTCGCAGACTTCTACGCCCCCAAATTTCGGTGGTTGCAGATAGTATGTTCTAGCACAAGAATGCACACAAAGTGACATGTGTTTAATCTAACTTCATCATTTTATGAAGAAAGTGGAGACACAGTCTACTGAACGCATAATCGAAAGAGAAGCAGATGCGGACTCTAACCATTATCTAGTTCAAAGAAACTTCAAATTCTGGTTGAAAGCCTTGAAAGCAACTGGAGACAGAACATAATTCAAGTCCAGTGATCAGAAACTCAAGGACGAGACTGAAAATGATAGCTTCACTGCAGCCATCACAGCAATGTCGGAGATGTGTTTCGGAACCCCTATGTTGCAATCAGAACCTGAGGAAATAACAATAATCTATAGTTTATTGAGCAAATATTTGGTTGAAAATAATCTTTGCTTGAGGTTTGTTTAAACCTGCATATTCAGTGACACTTTATTTATCACACTACACTCATCACAAACAGAAACTAGGTTGAATAACCTTTGACATGAAATAGACGGCCAGTCTGGAAGATTTTATGAATTTCCGTCCATGACTCTGCTATATTCTTATGGCTTGTAAACAGTACACCGTTAGCTCACTCACTCAGTTTCTTCTATGCTTCACGACTATATGAGAAGAGAAATCACGTTTTTTTGGAGTTCAGGATCAGAGAACGAAAATAATAAAGATTGCAAAGTGTTTCTCAGACCGACTAACTAGAGTAATTCAGATATAGTGACATTTTTATTCAGTAACAATAGTAATAATAATAATAATAATGACGATAATAACAACAAACCTGTGCAGCTGTTTTCATATTTGACTCCTCGTTTTCAAAGGACAGACCACTTTGTGATAATCTAACATTATTGTTATTATTGCCGATAACTTCATGCTTGTTAACACCGCCTAATAATAAATCGGGTTTACACCTCAACTCTGAGTGTTCTGTTTCACCGTCAAATAGCCGGTCAGTATTCATTGAATTATCATCATAATTCTCGCCATCTTCATTTTGATGATGATGATGATGATGATGGTAGCTGAAATTCTTCAGTGTACCCATCGAATCACTCAGTTCATTTTCATCATCTTTCTCATTATACCCATCAGTGGAGTGAAGTTTTAGTGACGCATTTTCTGGATCACACTGGATTTTGGTTAAATTATCATGATCCATTTCAATTAATGGTGTTCTGCGGTCATTATTTGAATATGCTGCACCTGTGTGGATTAAAATGAAGGAATGTTTAAGTCTTGTTATGCAGAAATTTGACTGTTTAATTCAATTTTGAATTTTCTCGTCGACTGATTGGACCGAAGTGCTCGGTCTCAAGTGGTTATGGGCATTAGGTTAGAGCCTCGGTGGAAACACCGTCGCTCACTACAGAATGCAGGTATATCCCGGTGACGAGTCTCAAATAAGACGAAATGTGCATCCTGGATTCCACTGCTAGTCACCATCCACCAATTAACTTCTAGGGATTTGATTGGTTACAGGATTTTATCATGAACCGACATCGGTTACAGAACCATTAGAAAACCTTGGAATACTGAACAGCTGTTTTAACCTAGTTCGGGACTCTTCATCAATACCCACTCACCAGCGGGGTCCAAACTCACGACTATACGGTTTCAAGGCGAGCTCGTAGACCGCCAAGCCACTAGAACCCGATCCATCGGCCAACCCATGAATTCCAGTTTCTGCCAATTCACGATATTAGCTCCGCTGACATTAGCCAGTGTTATCCGTAGCAAGAGTTTGTTCTCGCACCCAACCTGCTGTATTTCACTGGTCACGATTTCTCACTAAAATACAGGTAACTACCTACCCGAATAGGGCCATTGCTAGTGAACATCAAAATTTCTCTTGCAATAATTGGTTTCAGTACAATGGAGGATTGAAAGCGAATCTTCTTAACGGGATATATGTTATAAAACGCAACAGCAAGTTATTATTAGATAGCTGGAGGCAACCAAAAGCAAACTGTGTCTTACTGATACTCACCAGCCAGCAAGGCGTATTTGAAACTTTGAAGAGAACGAAGCTCCCTCTGAGAACCAAACTCGTGTCACAACCCAGTGAGTTCTACAATCAGAGAAGCTATCATTGAGAAGCTATTCGGGATCACGCTACTGACCTCCTGTAGGACTGCAGTATTAAATACTTTAACTGAACACTAGGCACTAAGTAATTAGTGCAATGCATCTAGACTTTTGTTTGGTGCAGACACCTTGTTACACTCTGCACGAGACCTAGGTATAGTCAAGGTTTCCTGCCGACTGCCTCCAACCAAGTCATTAAAACATTTCAGAGTGCACCATGGTGGTAAGCCACCATCCAGTATGGTGACCATACTACAAGCATGAAGAAAGGAATAAAGAAGGAAATCGCAGCATCTTCTCCACTGCTTGAGATTCTTGGCCATATCCGATAACGTTTCGAGCCACCGATTCACGCCATCTCTCGGACCCCAACCAGGTAGTCGTACTCCAACCGATGCTAACCTAACACAAATATCTTTCATCCGACGACTCCATTTCATAGGCTGACCACCTCCTCGTTTTTTTCCATCCAGCCCCAGGACTAGAGAATGCACACCCCTTCAGCAGCCTATGTGATGATATTCGTACCACACGTTCAATCCGCCGAAGGCGGTATTTCCAGATCACGATAACACCCAGTGAATGGTGATCTCCACTGTGTCCAAACACTCCGCTCAGATTTATTCACATGATGATAATATCGAACGTAAACAATTCCAAAGAGACAGTGATGACTGAATACACACAGTCGAGGAACACCCTCAGCCTACCTGGAGAGGCCAGGTTTCACAGGCGTGGAGCGAGACTGCACTCACCGAAGCACTGAAAATCCTACATTTGACAGTCATGACGGTGCTGGAGGCAACGTTAATTAGCGCATGCTATTTTAGCTTTCACTACACGGTTAAAAGTCCCATCCGTCACACCTGCTCCAGCATTTGCAAAACTACCCAGATACACGAACTTGTCGACAACTTCAAGTAGTTCACCTGAAAGAGTGCTTGCAGGTGAGTATATGCTCCTGCCAGTCTTGTGACAGTACTTTGCACTTAGGCGGCACTAAGCACATTATATAGATATAGACACTGATCACCAACTAATTAATTGCTATTCAGGCAACAACCTGCTTATTCTGCACGTCCGACTAGTATTCTAGCCCACGCGATAACGGACATTAGTACGAAAGCCACTTGGGGAAATGATAATTAAGTGTGAACTATCACTACCATTTCAAAGCGAATAATAAAGGTTATTTCTAGAATTAATTGTCCTCTTTCAAAAGTACCACTGATGACATAAATTATCCGAATTGAATGCTTAAAAAAAGGATGAGAATATAGAAATTTAAAGTAGAGTTTACCTTTCTCATCTAATTTCATGATATTACTGTTAATGCTGTTATCATTGGCTGTCAGATTTAACGGGAGACTTGAAGAGAATTGACAGTCATCTGGATCTTGTAAAGACAGTTTATTCTATAGGCGTAAGAAATGAAAAATAATAAAGGAGGGAATAAATAAGGACGAGTGAAGAATACGAAAGCAAACAAGTAAAGACGATCAAAATCACAGCTTTAAAGTTACACGTTTCCTTTTGGGAATGAAGAACATTCAGACTATAATATACCATTTGAACCGAGTATACCACTGATAAAGGTGGCGACAAACATACGCAACAATCTCCCGGTATTTTGATCACTTTGATCTAGTTGACAAACATTACTATCTGACCTGAATGGTTTTAGGCTACTTATTTTATTCAGTACTATATATCGTGACAACTGAGGTAGACAGTGGCTTGATTTAAACGGATTGCTTAACGAAGTAGCAAATTATAAAGCTGGCCTTTTTCTCTTCTTAAATGAATTCATTTCACTTTGACGGAGAATCAAAATGTCAAACTGGCAATTTCAGTTTAAGATGTGAATGAATGACTGTTGTATAATTTATTATAGTGATATAGAATCCAATTCCATAGTCAAGTATCTCGGAGTAATTCTTTCTTCGCATTTATCCTGGTCTTCCCACGTCTAAAAAATTCCTAGTAAAATATTTCATATGACATTTTACACTAAGAAGAAGTTAACGCACTCAGATATAACTCAACCCCTCCTCCTCATCCTCTTACAGTTTGTCAACTCTTGCATATTAACTACTCTTCTTTATTCTTCGCACTTACTTATTCTTCTCTGGATCGTTACACTGTGAGCATCCACTTTACCCACAGCTTTCACACTACATCTCCTCAGGTAGAACAACAAGTCATCTTATCAAAAGACTTGACGCGTGCACACATCCAAGTGTGACAATTCCACGATACCATATTTGGTATGCACTTTATATGATGAAAATAGTATGAGGCAAGAACGAACTAACTAACCTTCTTACCATTAGTAAATAAACAATTTTCTCTATTCATATGCCATCAAGCCTTACTGTTATTATCACTGCTGCCTCATTTATTGCCTCTTTTTTCATGATTGTAAACACCATTTAGCCCCTTATTAGTATTTTTTGTCTCACCCTCACCATGCTAGATAATATTAGATTCAACATTCTATAACATGTTGCAAAGATTCCACACTGTGTCGACAGTAATGTTTACAAATCCTCATTGTTCGCTCAAAATCATTTTGCCTTAATATAGACTGAAACAAACCTACTATTACTACTATTATTATGGTAATTATTCTCACTTTATACTTTTCGCATTTTTGATATTATTCCGGAAAATATCTTGCGGTTAATTTTATTTATATTTTGAGTAAATTAGGTGCAATATTGAGTCAAATGCTGGAAATTCCATACTGTATTATAATTACTATTTTGGAATAAAGCAGATCATTATTATTATTTCGAATAAACATGACTTCTGTCAAATGCTACAGGAATGGCAGGCATCGGTTATCAGTTTAAGGATCGGGAGTTAAACGGTCAAATACATTCAACAGTTCTCTTAACAGTTCCCCAGGTGGCATCAGACGCAATGGAGGAGAGGTAGGCGATTGGATTCCAACGCAGATAATTTCAACCCGCGCAAAACATTATGAAATTTAACAACACGAACTGAATTTTATTTATTTTTATTTTTGATTATAGCTTGATTCCACACCGTATTTTTCGTAAAAGTATGGAAATTTTCAGCATGGATATCGGTAGCCCAAATTTTGCAGGCCGACCATAGAAATCAGGTGGGCTTCGTCGATAGGGGTTCGAACCTCGGACAATGTGCATAGTCGGCGAGAGTCCTAACCACTGTGCCACCGAACTGAATCACTTTTGAGCAAGATTCTATCTTGACCTGTCAGTTCGGCAAGCAGTCAGCACTTGGACAAGAGAATTATATTCAATGTACATTGTAAAAGAGTCGAGTGGACATTGGCAGTCAACTTATCAACTTGAAATTCATGCTTGTATCTTAGTAATCAGAAATAAATTATGATATAGCCAGACATTAAATCTCGTGTCCTGGTTTATTTACCATCCATGGAGCTGCTTCTCAACCTTGGTATTCAAGCTGTAATCAAAATAAAATTAATTAAATAAATAAGATTACTAATACTCCATATAAATAAATAAGTGAAAATCACCTTTAAATTAACTCCTCTAGAAGGATTATTCTCATGTATATCACAAGAATTATTACTTTGAGTCCGCATACTCATATTCGGGAATTTCATCCCCCCATCTGTATTCATGAATGAATTCTGTACAGGAAATGCTGTTGTTGACTGATGTTGTTGTTGTTGCGATGTCATTGGGAAGGCTGGGGGAATTGTAGGGAATCCTGCACCGAATAAAGTCGCTGCAGCGGCAGCGGCTGCTGCCATAGCACTCGGATCTGTGAAACTATTTGCTCCACCTGGTAGAATACCACCTGATGGATTGCCCAAAGTTTGATGAGATGATGTAATCAGTGAATCATCTGAATTATTTGCTGTAGCCGGATTGAAACCTTGAAAACTAGATGCAATCATAGGAAAACCAGCACCAGATGCAATCGGTGGTAGAAATCCAGGGGGAAATAAATTCACAGGAGTATTTCCTATCTGAGATGAGGATGAAGATGAAGACGGTAATGTGGAAGGTGATGGAATAGACAGACCACTACCACCACCAACTGCACCACTACCAGCGGCAGGTAAAGTACCTGGGGGTATAGGAAGAAAGGGATTAAACTGTCCAAACGGTGAATTAAACCCTAGGCTGTTTGCACAAAATGGTGTAGAACTCCCAGAGATGCTTGGCAAAATTTGGTTCACCCCAGAAGTTGTTACATTTGAACCTGCTAAAGAATTCAAATACACTGAAGTCGATGACAATGAAGCAGCGGCAACGTTTAATGCAGATTCTGCATTTGTTGTTGTATTTGATGTTGTAGTCTGAGGATTGGTTGTACTTGATGGAGATACTGAACGGGATCCAACATTGGGCACCGTCACTGTTGGATAGTCAAAACTGTAGGAACTACGTCTAGCTTCCCGTCGATTTCCATCAATCGCTGCTTGAAGTTCACTAGGAGAACTTAATCCGAGGGTTTCACACTCATAAGGATACAGGTATTTCATATATCTGAAAGGTAAATGTACAAAAGAAATGCGTTACTTTATATTTATGTGGAATGAGAAATATGCCACTATTCTGAGTTTAACAGGCTGTCTGATACAATGCCACGAAGTCTATAACGTTGAAACAACATTCCAAGTGTTAGGCAATACTGAATAAACTGACTTCTCAGTTTATGAATGAGTTAAACACAAGTCACCGTCATAAGGCGGCCTGCTTCAAACTTGGGCTACCGGAAAACCTCCATCAACATATGGCATATAGTTTCTCTTATTCAGCTTGTTTAAATCTAGTAAATTATCGTCTCTAATAGCATTGTTTACACTGGCGAGTATTTAAAGTACTTACAACCTGCTGACTCACGAATTTTTACTAAGCATGAGAAAATGCGCTTGATGCGCTCTTCGGTGACTACGTTACATACACCTAGATATATAAAACTCTTTTTTTGTGGAATTTCTTGCCAAAAGCTTTCGGAAAGTAGTGTAATTATTTACCCTTGAAACACTGAATCTATGGATATAATCTTGTTGACTGATAATACCTATAACTATCTGCTTGCCATATTGTGAATGTCTAACACTAACAAATATCTATAATTGTATATATCTATAATTTTATATATTGATGGATTTACATGTCCAAGTTGGCTTAATTCAGTGAGTCTATGACTTTGATATCATTTTTGTTAACTATATCTGACTATGATAGTACCGCTAAAGTTTTTTTTATGATTGTTAGTGTCGCTTGTTGCCCTTCCTTAGCTGGTGTTGTTCTGTTTTCTTTATTTTTTGTTTTCCTGGCTTTAAGGAAAGCAACCCAGAAGGTCGCTTCCCTGTAAACTATATTTTAATGTAACAACCCCCTTCTTAGGCGTGAGGCTAGCAACCCCACCCTGTTAACAAAGCTGTTACAGAAACTTCAGCGGATGAATCTCCTTGCGCCAAAAGAAAAAGTATGTGTTGGAACATGGAACGTCCGCACTATGTACGAGACAGGGGAAGCTGTCCAGATCGCAAACGAGACGAAAAGATACGGAATCCAAGTACTTGGGATACGTGAAAGCAGATGGAACGGGAATGGACTCACCATATTTTCAACGGGTGAGTCAGTGATCTACTCTGGTCACCCAGAAGATAACCGCACGTACACCGAGGGCGCGGCTATCATGATGTCACCAACGGCAACAAAGGCCCTGATGCAATGGGAGGCGATCTCCAGAGGCGACCGCCAAATTCAACTCCAAAGGAAGGAAATTGTCTGTTATACAATGCTATGCACCCACAAACAACGCAAACCTCGAAAAGAAAGGAGAATTCTACAGGCAACTACAGGCAACAATGGATAATACTCCAGCTGGCGACATGAAAATACTAATGGGAGACATGAACGCCAAACTGGGACTAGACAACACAGGAAGGGAACGCATCATGGGTAGAGAAGCTCTCGAAGAAATGAATGAAAATGGAGAACTCTTCGCCGACATCTGCGCCTTCAATGAACTAGTGATTGGTGGCAGCGTATACAAACACAAAGATATCCACAAGGCTACATGGGTGTCACTAGATGGGCTAACCAAAAACCAAATTGACTTCATCTCAATGTTGCTCAAGGAAGTGGAGCCACAGAGTACTCTACTCTAGCCCTTTATTGTGTTTATTCAATGAAAAATGCTCAATATTTTCACTTGAATACCATGTTCAATGATCAATTCAGAAAAGTTTAAAAAAACTGAAAGGCGGTAATTTGAAATACAAACTAATTTACACAATGGAAAAGTCATACATTTTATTTTTTGTCGAGAGATAGAACTTACTGTGTTCTCAGAGTGAATGCAGCACTTGTAATCGATGAGGGTAAATTCAATCCTTTAGTTATTTCCGCCATAACTTTTTATTGATAACTTCAACTAGACCACCACGTGCAACAACCAATTGAAATAGTTCATACAAATCTAACACTTGTTTAGCCATTATTGGGATACGATTAACTGGTGTACCTGTTATAACAGACAAACAAGAGAAGAAACAGGATTGATGTTATGTGGTTAGGCGCAGTCGACAAGAAACCCTGCGATTATGCTTCATATTTGTCGCCAAACTACAAACTTTAAGGAATGAATATCAGTCAAAGACATTACGACAGTTACGACAGCTACTGAGGCCACTATAGTCTCCTGAAGGACTGATAATAATAATCACTTTATTCCAAGTAATAACAATCATATCCAATGGAAGTTTCTGCGTTTCCATGCACACTGCTAAAATTTACCTCCTTTTATAAATACGTTCGCAACAAAATGAAAGAAAGTAATAATAACAGTAAAACCACAAAATAATGAAGGATACCAGAAGCATAATGAATTAAAAATAGATAATATCACAGATGATACATGTAGTAAAAATAATAACAGTCTTTGCTTATACTCACTTTCCAGTTCAGTTACTCACTTAAACAGTTTATAAGCTCGTTTCTGACATTCCTTCGTCTCTCCCTCTCTCCCTCTCTTCACACAAAACCCATGCTAAATACGGTGTGGTTTGGCTTTTATACCCAGCAGCTGTACGAGCTTAAATTCTCTGGTTTCGACTCCATGCACCTACAAGGAAATAGTTAAGAATAGGTGGAGAGGACGTTCGTTGTTAGACAAGATGATTTCAGCCAGCTGCTTTTTTTCCCTTCACGTTCCCAGTGGAACATAAGCTCCCAAGCTAGAGGCTTGAAGTTTCTGTAGCAGTGCTTTTACTTCTACAGGATGAGGTTGCTAGTCAGCCTCATGCCAAACCTTTCCTCTTTACCAGCATTACTCCTGGCTTAGCGAGGTAAAGGAGCGAGTCGGCCGGGGATCGAACCCCGGATCATGTGCATGGTTGGCGAGCGTCCTAAGCACTGTCCCACTGACGCCAACTGCTTACAAGAATTAAAATGCCCATCTACAACTACAACAGTGTCAGTCAGGTGAGTCGAAGGCACACACACACACCACTAACCCTACTCACTCACAGACTTCAATCTCCGACGTAATAGATAATGACATAGTCTTTCCTGAGAAGTCGACCAAGGAAGAATACGTGTGAGGAACAATAAAGAAGAGTGGACAGAATACATGAATTAATCAACTGTAAGAGAAGAGATTGATTTGTGTCAACAGAAATTCTCGACATCCCTATGTAATAAGTCAAACGAAAATATTTTGTTATAAATCTACGATATATGAGACGACGAAGAGAGATTCGAAGAGAAATTGATTCAGAGATGAGAGATATTCGATATACTCCCTACCACACAGTGTTGTGAGTATTACGGGACTCATGTGACTGAATCAATCAATCCACACAAGTTTTTTTCGCATCTGAAACTGACATTATGACAACAATATGACATTAACATGGATTCAGTTTAAGGCACACGAATCGGAAACTCAGAGCAGAAAATGTCGTCGATTCAGTAATGCTGGCTAAACTCCACCAATCAAGTTTACAAATATGGTCATCAAGCTAGGCTATCTGTCATCCAGGTGTACTTTGTCTATATGTGTTGAAGGTGACTGGTAGGAAACTATGGTCCTAGATTTCTTGATTGATATAATTTATTTAGCTCTAATGACTAAACAATATGGACTGAAGAAACTTAGCTAACTTCAGTATTTGGATCAATGGGAAAACTCTTAACCTCATCTACAGCGACAAAAACCCTCAGGAGTCTACTTTCCAAGGACCTTCATATTTTGAATAACACAAAATTCATAATAAAAATTTAAATAATTTTTACAGCTTGGTTAGAATATGTGGTACCAAAAATGAGCTGCCTAGTCCTATCCGACAAATGTGTGTGTGTGTGTGTACGTGTGTGGATTGGTTATGAAGCTAGATGTTAGGCTACAGTTATTAGGATGCCTTCAGAAGAACTAGACTTTGACGCATAGCTTAGTGTTCGGAATAGAGACTTTCTCACCATTCACCCTTAACAATCATCAGTCTTCTATTTACACTAACCAACACGTACTCACACACATATACATACAAGAGAGACTCTTTGATCCCTATTATAACCTGTATACTACTGCAAGTAAAGATATAGTTTAGTTTATTTTATTAATGCAAGTACCTTGACAAATAAAAGAAAAATTAAATTTTTACACATTTTCGTAAAATACTTCCCTTGCTGAACATATCTCAAATCAATAAAAATGGAAAGAAGATTTATTCTCTCCTGCAGGTAAAACAAAGACAGATGGAGAGGGGTGAAGTTAAGAGAAATTCACAAAAATTAGTTAAATTCACAAATGCACATACAAATAAAGCGAAACATTCACAGAAACATACATATCTGAACATGTATAATAGGTGAAATGTGCATTAAAATAAATCTGAGTTGTCTTGGTTACTAATTAACAAAATAATATACTAAAAGGGAAGATTTTAAAAATGTTCACATTAATTTGCGGAAATTTCCAAGGGGAAATTGTGTTTTGTAAACGTGTACACATGTACGCCTTAGTTATTAAATTCACTCCCCCTCTGTATAAATGCTTAATTACCCTCAATATATATATATATATATATATATATATATATATATATATACATGCATGTACCGCAGAAGAGAATACAATTAAGATGGATAGATTTTAAGTAATATAAACAAGAATATAAGAATAACATAAAATGAAATAAAAATGAAGAAAGACAATTATTTCAAATAATAATCTACGATTTTAGGTGAATAAATAAACAAACAGATGGATAAAAACATAGGTAGGTAGGTAGGTAGGTAGGTAGGTAGGTAGGTAGGTAGGTAGGTAGGTAGGTAGGTAGGTAGGTAGGTAGGTAGGTAGGTAGGTAGGTAGGTAGGTAGGTAGGTAGGTAGGTAGGTAGGTAGGTAGGTAGGTAGGTAGGTATGTAGGTAGGTAGGTAGGTAGGTAGGTAGGTAGGTAGGTAGGTAGGTAGGTAGGTAGGTAGGTAGGTAGGTAGGTAGGTAGGTAGGTAGGTAAATAGGTAGGTAGGTAAATAGGTAGGTAGGTAGGTAGGTAGGTAGGTAGGTAGGTAGGTAGGTAGGTAGGTAGGTAGGTAGGTAGGTAGGTAGGTAGGTAGGTAGGTAGGTAGGTAGGTAGGTAGGTAGGTAGGTAGGTAGGTAGGTAGGTAGGTAGGTAGGTAGGTAGGTAAATAGGTAGGTAGGTAAATAGGTAGGTAGGTAGGTAGGTAGGTAGGTAGGTAGGTAGGTAGGTAGGTAGGTAGGTAGGTAGGTAGGTAGGTAGGTAGGTAGGTAGGTAGGTAGGTAGGTAGGTAGGTAGGTAGGTAGGTAGGTAGGTAGGTAGGTAGGTAGGTAGGTAGGTAGGTAGGTAGGTAGGTAGGTAGGTAGGTAGGTAGGTAGGTAGGTAGGTAGGTAGGTAGGTAGGTAGGTAGGTAGGTAGGTAGGTAGGTAGGTAGGTAGGTAGGTAGGTAGGTAGGTAGGTAGGTAGGTAGGTAGGTAGGTAGGTAGGTAGGTAGGTAGGTAGGTAGGTAGGTAGGTAGGTAGGTAGGTAGGTAGGTAGGTAGGTAGGTAGGTAGGTAGGTAGGTAGGTAGGTAGGTAGGTAGGTAGGTAGGTAGGTAGGTAGGTAGGTAGGTAGGTAGGTAGGTAGGTAGGTAGGTAGGTAGGTAGGTAAATAGGTAGGTAGGTAGGTAGGTAGGTAGGTAGGTAGGTAGGTAGGTAGGTAGGTAGGTAGGTAGGTAGGTAGGTAGGTAGGTAGGTAGGTAGGTAGGTAGGTAGGTAGGTAGGTAGGTAGGTAGGTAGGTAGGTAAATAGTAGGTAGGTAGGTAGGTAGGTAGGTAGGTAGGTAGGTAGGTAGGTAGGTAGGTAGGTAGGTAGGTAGGTAGGTAGGTAGGTAGGTAGGTAGGTAGGTAGGTAGGTAGGTAGGTAGGTAGGTAGGTAGGTAGGTAGGTAGGTAGGTAGGTAGGTAGGTAGGTAGGTAGGTAGGTAGGTAGGTAGGTAGGTAGGTAGGTAAATAGGTAGGTAGGTAGGTAGGTAGGTAGGTAGGTAGGTAGGTAGGTAGGTAGGTAGGTAGGTAGGTAGGTAGGTAGGTAGGTAGGTAGGTAGGTAGGTAGGTAGGTAGGTAGGTAGGTAGGTAGGTAGGTAGGTAGGTAGGTAGGTAGGTAGGTAGGTAGGTAGGTAGGTAGGTAGGTAGGTAGGTAGGTAGGTAGGTAGGTAGGTAGGTAGGTAGGTAGGTAGGTAGGTAGGTAGGTAGGTAGGTAGGTAGGTAGGTAAATAGGTAGGTAGGTAGGTAGGTAGGTAGGTAGGTAGGTAGGTAGGTAGGTAGGTAGGTAGGTAGGTAGGTAGGTAGGTAGGTAGGTAGGTAGGTAGGTAGGTAGGTAGGTAGGTAGGTAGGTAGGTAGGTAGGTAAATAGGTAGGTAGGTAGGTAGGTAGGTAGGTAGGTAGGTAGGTAGGTAGGTAGGTAGGTAGGTAGGTAGGTAGGTAGGTAGGTAGGTAGGTAGGTAGGTAGGTAGGTAGGTAGGTAGGTAGGTAGGTAGGTAGGTAGGTAGGTAGGTAGGTAGGTAGGTAGGTAGGTAGGTAGGTAGGTAGGTAGGTAGGTAGGTAGGTAGGTAGGTAGGTAGGTAGGTAGGTAAATAGGTAGGTAGGTAGGTAGGTAGGTAGGTAGGTAGGTAGGTAGGTAGGTAGGTAGGTAGGTAGGTAGGTAGGTAGGTAGGTAGGTAGGTAGGTAGGTAGGTAGGTAGGTAGGTAGGTAGGTAGGTAGGTAGGTAGGTAGGTAGGTAGGTAGGTAGGTAGGTAGGTAGGTAGGTAGGTAGGTAGGTAGGTAGGTAGGTAGGTAGGTAGGTAGGTAGGTAGGTAGGTAGGTAGGTAGGTAGGTAGGTAGGTAGGTAGGTAGGTAGGTAGGTAGGTAGGTAGGTAGGTAGGTAGGTAGGTAGGTAGGTAGGTAGGTAGGTAGGTAGGTAGGTAGGTAGGTAGGTAGGTAGGTAGGTAGGTAGGTAGGTAGGTAGGTAGGTAGGTAGGTAGGTAGGTA